CAAATCACTAAAAGTGAATTAATAAATTATTAGAGCTATTCCCCCAAATATTTTATGCACAGCTAAAGGTTTTTATGAAAACCTTCTTTACAGAACCCCATGTGCTATGGGGACTTCTGATTAATGGGCACAGTATTACAGATAATAAACTAAAAAATTAGAAATTTGGGGAATGCTTTACTAGTTCTTTGTTTCCCTTTGCATCAAACTCAAATTCTATATTTCTTCTCCAAGTCTGAAAGGGTAAAAATTGGAACAATTTATTTAAATCTTCCCATTCCTCCAAAACCCAAGGAAGTCCACTTTAAAATCTTTACAGGTTTTTACCTCTCTAAAAAATTCTTAGACTTCAAATTGCTATTGATGAAAACTTGTTTATTTTGTGACAGTGATACTGAATCAACTGAACATCTTTTCAATGAATGTGTGTGTTGCGAAGCTTTGTGGGATGATGTGCACTACTAGCTTTTAAAATTCCAAACTTACCTGAATTTTCTAAGAAAGACATTATTTTTGGGAGTCAAAAAAATAAATTTGAAAGACTTCTAAATGTAATAATTATCATGAGCAAAAACACCCCAAAGCATGATGCTACAAACCCCATGCTTCACAGTAGGGATGGTGTTCTTGGGATGGTGGCACTCATCATTCTGAGGGAGGGTCAAGTTTAGCTTCTTCCACTTTCAAATGATTGCTCCAGCGGTGGAGCTTTTTTTCACCAAGCTGCTTGGAAATTTCCCAGTAGCCCTTTCCAGCCTTGTGGAGGGCTACAATTTTGTCTCTAATGCAGGGGTCTTCAACGTTTTCCAGGCCAAGGACCCCCAAACTGATGGCGAGATGGAGCGGGGACCCCTAATTACATGTATCATATGAAACTGTGTTATATCAAACTGGTCCTATAGTCACTCTATTACAGATGGAGTAATGTAACAAAAGTAATTCCGCCCTGGGATTATTAAAGTATTTCTGATTCTGATTCCTGGTTGATGGGACAGGTGTTGTGAATGAAACGGTGCCCAGCTTGAAAGAGCTCCTGTGTGTCATTGAATGTGTGCATTGATGACTGAAAGACATCTTCTACCTCAATTTATCTGTTTACTAAAGTGTGCTGAATTCATGTTATTTGGATTTAAGGGCATTTCAATTTGTGGAAAAAATGGCAGGAGGGGGGGGATATAAAAAAAAAAGTCTAATCAACCAAAACTTTTGCGACCCCCATGCAGTACCTCCATGGACCCCCTATTGAAGAGCTCTGCTCTAGTGTCTTTGGACTGCTCTTTGGTCTTGGCCATGTTAGTAGTTGGATTCTTACTGATTGTATGTTGTGGACAGGTGTCTTTATGCAGCTAACGACATCAAACAGGTGCATCTGATTTAGGATATTGTGATTTTTTTTTACTTTTTTCTTAGATTATGTCTCTCACAGTGGGCATGCACCAATGATGAAAATTTAGGACCCCTCCATGATTTCTAAGTGGAAGAACTTAAAAAAAATGGCAGGATGTTGAAATACTTATTTTGCTCACTATATACACTCACCGGCCACTTTATTAGGTACCCCATGCTAGTAACGGGTTGGACCCCCTTTTGCCTTCAGAACTGCCTAAATTCTTTGTGGCATAGATTCAACAAGGTGCTGGAAGCATTCCTCAGGGAGTTTGGTCCATATTGACATGATGGCATCACACAGTTGCCGCAGATTTGTCGGCTGCACATCCATGATGCCAATCTCCCATTCCACCACATCCCAAAGATGCTCTATTGGATTGAGATCTGGTGACTGTGGAGGCCATTTGAGTACAGTGAACTCATTGTCATGTTCAAGAAACCAGTCTGAGATGATTCCAGCTTTATGACATGGCGCATTATCCTGCTGAAAGTAGCCATCAGAAGTTGGGTACATTGTGGTCATAAAGGGATGGACATGGTCAGCAACAATACTCAGGTAGGCTGTGACGTTGCAACAATGCTCAATTGGTACCAAGGGGCCCAAAGAGTGCCAAGCAAATATTCCCCACACCATGACTAAACCACCACCAGCCTGAACCATTGATACAAGGCAGGATGGATCCATGCTTTCATGTTGTAGACGCCAAATTCTGACCCTACCATCCGAATGTCGCAGCAGAAATTGAGACTCATCAGACCAGGCAACGTTTTTCCAATCTTCTATTGTCCAATTTCGATGAGCTTGTGCAAATTGTAGCCTCAGTTTCCTGTTCTTAGCTGAAAGGAGTGGCACCCGGTGTGGTCTTCTGCTGCTGTAGCCCATCTGCCTCAAAGTTCGACGTACTGTGCGTTCAGAGATGCTCTTCTGCCCACCTTGGTTGTAACGGGTGGTTATTTGAGTCACTGTTGCCCTTCTATCAGCTCGAACCAGTCTGGCCATTCTCCTCTGACCTCTGACCTCAACAAGGTATTCCCGCCCACAGAATTGCTGCTCACTGGATGTTTTTTCTTTTTCGGACCATTCTCTGTAAACCCTAGAGATGGTTGTGCGTGAAAATCCCAGTAGATCTGCAGTTTCTGAAATACTCAGACCAGCCCTTCTGGCACCAACAATCATGCCACGTTCAAAGTCACTCAAATCACCTTTCTTCCCCATACTGATGCTCGGTTTGAACTGCAGGAGATTGTCTTGACCATGTCTACATGCCCAAATGTGATTGGCTGCTTAGAAATTAAGTGTTAACGAGCAGGTGGACAGGTGTACCTAATAAAGTGGCCGGTGAGTGTATATTTATATATATATATATTTATATTATATATATATATATATTTTTTTATATATATATATATAAAAGCAAATATGTTCCCTTGTGTTGGTTGTCTTTACAGTTCACTAATGCCATATATCATCAAAAATATTGCATCTATTGTTTAACGATCTAAATTATTGTAAAAATGCAATTGGAACCTAACTAAGTTATTCGATAACTTAAATTATTGTGGATAACAGAAACTTGAAAATTATGAAGATCAGGTAAATCAGTCTACCCGGTCCTGCTGTACAATATCCACACAAATGAAATGTATTTCAATTGTTACATCACATGTAACATCATATTATATTCCAACTGGTCTTTTTTTTTTTTATTGGTGTAATTTCATCTCAATTACACTCCGATGAAGACCAAAAACATTGTGCATGTATTTCTTTTATTCTAACAAAGAAGCACTTACATCACATTAACAGACAAAGACACCACATATAAACAGTTTCTCACTGGAACAGGGGGGACTGTAATAAGGACTAAACAGCAATCTTCCCTTCTAGTTAAGGAAAATTGAAAGAGAGCCAACATGCAGAAATGGACAGACTTACAAAAAAAAAAAAAGTTATGCTTTGTGCTTCAAGATACAACCAAAAGCTAAACACAAGCACACTCAATGATATGCAATCGAACTGAAAAATTCTTATTATGGATGATAATGTCATGTATTTGAGCATATGACTGGTTTCAGGCACAATTTAGTTTTTACATCTAGTAGCAGGTATAAGTTGAGTTTCTATTGTAATTAGACACTACAAAGCAATAGCCCTGGGTGTAAAACAGTTATAATATATAACATCTTTCACTAAACTATTTTAATGTATACTGTACCTTCTGAGCTTAAGCAGACATAAAGTAAAACTGAAGTATTTTAAAATAGAAGTATTTTAAACCAAACTAACCTTCAAATTAACAAAAAAAAAGGGGATTTTCTATATCTTCCTGTAATATTGGTAAAACTGCAATTTGATATGCACATATCTGCATAATTTTCCCATTAATTCTAATGAAAAATAAAGTAAAATAAGGTCGGCTACAGCAAACCTAAAGGAAACTATTAACAGAGATACTTTTTAATCTGTTTCCTCATCTAGCAGTTTTACCTCTGCGTTACCGAGTCATGTAGGTTGGATGGAGGACTAAATGGAAGCACCGATAGGTAGGAGTGCAAAAAAATTTATTTAGAGGTCAATTTATTTATTTATTTTTCTTCATATGTCATGGAAGCCTTTGTTTTTAAAGGTTTGTAATCGTCTTTTTTTTTAGAAAGATATTAATATCTATGAATCATCTTATTTTTCATTATTATTAGTAATTGTATTACATTTTAGTATATCTACTATATATCTATATATATAGTAGTATAACTACTATATATTGAACATCTACTATATAGTGCTGCTGTCTCTATAGTAGATGTTCCTTTATAATATTAGGTAATAATAATCAGGTTAAATCAATAAAATACTGACAATAAATCTGCAAAATTATCGTTTATATATGGGGAAAACAATGTGGAAGCAATAAGTAATCACTCATCCAATGAGACAGTGAGACCCTGGGTAAGAGGCCATGTATTAATGTCAAAAACCTCCAAAACCTGTGATTCAGTGTCTGTGCTGTGTGGTTAATCATAAACTACTTGTATCTAACAATTAGTATAAAGAAATGGGAAAAAATATTATTTAGAACAGTTTCTTTTATTTACAAAGTCGAATAAAACAAACAAAAAATATGTAAAATGTTAATCCATTGTCCTTAAGCACTGATCATCTGCTCAACAGGCTTTGAATAGAGAACATCCTTTAAGTCAGCAGATTACTCTACCTTCTTGCCTAAATTGGAATTCAGACAGACGGCTCAGCTAACTCGTTCAAACTGCTTTGTATAAATAAATATGTAAATTCAAGTAGAAAGCTGTAAAACTGCAGAACAAACCAGTCTTCACAGCAAAAGCTGAGCAGATGAGCCAGAAAGTTTATCACAGAGGAAACTCATTTGGCATCATGGTATGACAAACAACCCGGACGTGGTGATGAATCACGCAAAAGGGAATGAGAAGCATTCGATGCCATCTTTTACTGCTGTTTTTTTCCCTCCTTTTTAATTTACATTTTTTGAAATTGCAGCTGCATGTCCAAATAATGAATCTATTTTTAATGCTAAACTGTCAATGTACTTTTAAAAGTTTCCCATTAAATTTTTCAGGGAAAGCCCATTTCTTAAAATCCTGAATATTGCTCAGCAAAGAATAATTGGTTGGTCCATTAATTGGTTGTTGGATCAGACTCGTTAACTGTCATCCATCATAAGCAAACACAATCCTCAAATAGGTTTGAGGTAACCGACTGGGATAACATCACAAACAGGACCATAAAAAAATCTTACAAACATGATAGTGAAAAAAAAAAATCAAAAATTGCACAATACAAAAATGAAAATACAAATGAATAAATATGCAAAGTCATAAATAAATTAAATTTGGTAAAATTCATAAGTTGTCAAATGAGAAGGAAAATAAAAGCAACATGAGTAAACTGCTTTACAACAAAGAACAAATCAATTGAAGAAAAAAAAAACCAAATATTCGAGTCTTGGTTTGATGATGTTCAGAGTTTCATGTTCATGTTCAGAGCGGGTCGCTGTTAAAAGCTGTAGCTGCAGCCGTTCTGGAAAAACGGGAATTTTCACAGAAAGACAATTCATCAAAACTCATCGAAGGTTGATTTATGTTTAATACGAAGAACAAACTGGTATGGTTTTTTCAAAACCTAAAAATACAATTAATGTCGATTTTACAGTGGTGCACAGTGTATGCCGTGGATATGTATTTCTCAACCATAGCCACAATAGAGCAGGCATGGGCTGGTATGAGATGTTCATGGTAGGTTAAACCATGAGTAATAATACCACAGTTTTGAGGTAAAACACAAATATTAACAGCTTGCCAGCCAGCTCCTCAGTGCTGGGTTATCATAGTAAGCACGGTGGGGCAATTAGCTTCTGTGTTTTTCATCAGAAATAAAAAAAATTAAGCAGAATTATCAAGAATCTACTGTGTATATGAGGTCAATGGACCAGGCTTCTTTTAGCCATCTGACCAGCAGTGAGCAGCAACAGGCGGCAAAAAAGGCAGCACCGCTTTACTCTATGCTCTAAAGAAAAACAGGCTATTTTTTTATTGATTTTTTCTTTTTAAAAAACCGGATGCGGGTCATTTCAGTTTTTTTACACTCTGAAGAGTGCACCCAAGTTTGTCTCTAAGCAACAGCTGTAACACATCAGTGGGGAAATCAAAATTGAAGAACACACACAAAAAAAAGGGAATGAAATGAATCAACGTAAATTTTATGTTTTTTTTTTTGCTGTACCTAAAATTTTCCTTTTTAGGAATAATTTAGTTTATCTGTGAAAATCTTTTCCCAAAATAAAACACTGCCTGTATGATGGGTCAAAGTTGTACCATTCCTTAAAAGTAAAATTTTAAAAGTTAATTAAATCCTTTCAAATGCCATAGATGTCCTGTTGACTGCACTTTGGATACCTCTGTTTTAAGCCATGGGGTAAAATCAGTAAATCTTTGTTTTGAAACTCAATACCAGTAACTGGCCCATGCCTTTTGTGAACTTAATTTCTGATCTGCAATCAATATTTGCAATCACATGCAATCCTCTTTGATTTAAAGGTTTCATATGAGTTTGAACATAAAAGCCACACAATCTCTCCAAAATCAAGTTAGATTAGGCTTTTCAAACACAAGATGAGACACAAACAGAATATGGGTGAAAAAACAAAAACACCAGAGTGAAAGCGTGAATCTACACCGAAAGTTTGCATTCCTCACTTTTTGAGAATGATTCCTTTTGTAACCTTTAAGAAGACAAGCCGCCGACACAAACAGTAACAACACGAGTGTAACCGAAACTTTGGAGGGGCTGCGAAGCTTAGCTCCTCCAGGGGTTGTATGTATGTATATATACCGTATATATATATAGGCTTGAGTGAGTGTTTTGCATCATTTTTCTCTAGGCTACAGTAAGACTGTGGGTGAGATTCAGTCTCCCCTTACCTCATCTCTCTCACAGCTAACATTCAGAAAGATGGGAGGCAAATAAAGGCATTTTCTGTTGGTTGTTTCTCCGCTACAAGGATGACACCTCATTAGCTTTTTTTTTGTCTTTTTTTTTTTTTTTTCCACCTGGCTGTTTTTAGGCAATTGCCTGCTTTGTTTTTTGAAAAAGTAAATCACATAAAAATACATTACACATAAAAAAAAAATAGAATAAAAGATTTCCTACACCAAACGCCTAAAAGAAAGAAATCTTTTCTGACAGAAAAAAGGCCCGATATGAAGGCATTCGATTTATCGTACATTCTTTCATTGGAGTTTTAAGCACTGGTATAATGTTTTAAACCTTGCCAAAACCTAAGATGACACATTATTTCACCCTTTGAAAAAAAAAATATACAAGACATCCTTTCCTGGCAGTGAATTATTAAGCGCAACAACAATCCTTTTGTATGATTTGATTTTTTTTTTTTTTTTTTTTTTACCATTTTCAATAGATGTTCCAGAAAATATTCAGTAGCAGTATTCAACAAATGACAAAACCTTTTTAAAGTTATTGAACAAATGTACTACAAGCTACCTCAGCTGTTAGGATGTTATTCTCCAATGAGAAAGGTCAGGATTTTTAAAGTCAGTTCCTAATAACAGGTTTTAAGCAGTTAATATTCTACTAAAATAGCTTTCTTTATCATTTTGTAGAATTACCAATTAGTTTGTGCTAGAGGATAAAGCTAATGGCTAGTTAAAGAGAAGCAAAGAGCAAATTCAGCCATCTTAAAATTTCAAAAACAACATATTCTACCAAACAAGCTCGGTAAAAGGAAAATGCATATATTGATTATAAAGGAATTGCAGAGGACAGAGCATGCTTTTCTGGTCAGAGTAATTTCCCATTAAATATGGTAAGGCAATTACGAAATGTTTAAATATTTTTAACCTCTTAAAATCTTTTATTTTAATCTCAAAAAGTTACTCTGACAAGATAAACTTTACATGGTCCATTCTCAGCACTCGTTTCACACAGGAAGATAATTGGTGGTGCACAGCCTCCAACCTCCATTTCTTGTTTGTGTTCATCAGATTCTGTTTGAGTAAATGCTATATGGAAACTCGATTTATATATGCATAAATTAAAGTGAACTGCTATGACATTTTATTTAAATGTTTCGTCTTGCTTTCTCTCAGACTAACGGTCAGCTTTAGGTCCAACTTATCTACATTTGTTTTATAAAGACACCAGAAAAGTTATCAGAAACTTCTTTTAAAATCCTGAACTGTCATTTAAAGAGAAACTCCAGCCTCTGGTTGATCTTTTTTATTAGCTGTAAGCAACAGTCTTCACTTCACATTTAGCAAAGCTGCAGAACTACCGTAGAATCTCTAAAGTCAACAGTTCAGCTGGCGGCCGTTTGTAGTCACTGCAGGCTCACACTCAGCAGGTCTCAATCCAGTGATGAGCTTTTTAATGCCAGGATTGGACAAATGAATTTGGAAGCTCAGTCCATTGAATTTAAACCCCTTCCCTCCCAATGGGATGTTTTTAAATGCTTCACATTCTGATATTCAGCATCATATCTGTCACTCAGTGTCTCTGTTTTCAGTCACCTTTAAGGTTGTTTCTCCAAGGCAATACAGGTGACCAAAATTAAGATTTTGAAGGTCAACTCTCTTCAATGTTCTTCCTTACCCCCTTAGAGAAAACTGTATCTGACTAGCAGGACAAGCTGAATGTTTTCTCTGGTCTCACTGGGCCCTCATCTCGATTATGTCATCATCATCATCATCAGAGCTGCTGCCGGCGCCGTTCTCCCTGCCGTTCACCAGGGCAGCAGCCTGGTGGTTCTCTGGGCGGTCTGCGGGGGAAATCGAGGAAGGAGAGGAGGAGGAGCCTGAGGCAGCAGTTTGGGGGTACTGAGACAAAAAACTGGCTTCGGCTGGAACAGGAGTGGCAGCCGGGCCAGGCAGCATGGAGCCAGAATAAAGTCCAGCCAGCGATGGGCTGTATGAAATGGGAAAGCCTGGTGGGATCATTCCAGCCATACTGGGGCTCAACATGTATGGTGGGAGGGCTCCCGGAAGAGAACTGGCAGCAGAAGGAGCCGATGAGGCAGTAGCGGTGATTGTTGTTGATGAGGACGGAGAGGAGGAAGAGGGGACCGCGTTGGCGCCGCTAAAGCCGAAGACATCTCGATACATGTAAGCAGGGTCTCCCAGCTGAGTGTTGGGGGGGTTGAAGTAGTGCGAGTTTGACCCCAAGAAGAGCGGATGCCCCACTGAACTGCCCAACATGGCAGAGCTGAGACCCATCGGGGGAAGGCCATACCCCCCTGGGAAGGGGAACCCTGCTGAAGGCGGAGGGGCTGAGGAGTGTTTTCCTGCATAGGGCTGCTTACTGACTCTCTCCTCCAGGGACGGGCTGAAGGCTTTACGTTTGCTGCTTATCCTCAAGTCTTGTGGAACACCGGTGTCCACGTTTGGCTGGATTACATTAGAAAGTGAGGCATCATGGCAGCTCATAGATTCCCCAGGAAAGGCGCTCCTACTGCTGCCACATTTGTCCTGCAGCTTATTTGAAGGCGGCTTGTTGCTGACGCTGCTGTCAGCGGCTCTCTCTTGCTGAACGATGGAGGCTGCAGTGGTGTCAGCCCCCGAGCCAGCCGTGTAGCGCTGCAACTCACTGAGGATCTCTGGGCTGTCGGGGGAAAGAGGGCGGGGCACAGTCTTGGAGGGTACCACCACCTTCCTGTCAGGGGATATGCAACCATTACTGCCACTGGAGGAAACTTCCTGATGTGGAACCTTCGAGTCTGAAAGAGGAAAGACATTCAACGTTGACTTAAGAATACTGTTTTTAATAACTTTAAACACAGTTTTTAGACTCTGAGAACAGAATTCCGTGAATCTACAAACTTAATGACCTAAATCTAAAACCTTTTAATTAATTTGAAATTAGACAGAAATCTAAAAGAGCCCAAAAGAAAGATTAGGAAATGACTATTTGCACACAATCTCCATCTAGCCTTACTGAGCCATTTTGCAGAAAAGCAAAAAAAAAAAAGCATTTGGATATGCAGAGCTGGAACAGACATATTCTAGAAGATCTGCAGCCATAGGTGCATCGAAAGGCAGCAGAGTTGGAAGAGCTGAAGGCAAATAAGCTCCACATATTTAAAATTTTAAAGTATAACCCCCCTGAAGGCATTAATAATAATTGAACTTCTCAATCATTAACCACTTTCAGGTCTATTGGATTCAATCTCAATGAAATGGATTCAAGTTTGTGTTGACAAAATACGGGAAAGTTAAAGAAAATGGAATACATTTACAATACTGTGTTAATCAGCAAAGGCTTTATGCTTTTAATGGAATCAAAGTACTAACAGTTTTACCTTTAGGAGGAGCTGCTGGGTTCTCGTCCACCGTCTTAGCCTTATTAGCTGCTCTAATGGCAAAGATCCGGCCATCAGATGTCCTGATATACGTTCCTGAATATAAACAAAAGTAATCAAGGTGTTTAGTTTCCACTGCAGACAGATGATGCAGACAGGCTTAATCAATTTACGCATGACTCAAAATGACATCTTTTATAGCAGCTGAAAAAATCCTATTAATTAATTGGTGTTGTATGGTTGACTTAAACGTAACAAAGAAAAAAAAGCATAACAGATAATTGTCCCAAAGATTGCATGTAGGCCTATTTGTAGTCTGGTACCTTTTGTGCCCCTGATAACATGAATGCTTTCTCCAGCAGTGATCCTCGCCTGCACATCTGTTGAGCTGTTGGTACCTGGAATCACTATGTCTGAAACAGATGGAGAACAAAACATTCATTTTCAGATGCTTATTATCATTTAAAAAAGGAACAAGGATTAGATCACGAGTGTTAGTGCAGCTTGCCCACCAGTAGTGGTGACAATCTTCTGTACAAACACGCCAGCCTTCTGCAGGCAGTTGACAGGGAATCCTCCGAGGCTGGATGAAGAGGAGCCACGATCTGAGGCTGAACCTGCAGCCACATGGCGAGGCATCGTGGGAACTGAAGCAGACTGAACGGGCCGAACACTGGCCACTGGTTTCTCCTCAGCGCGAGTGGGAGGACGCCTGAACAGAGATCAGATTACTTATCACAAATGTGGCTTTTAGAAAGGTAACAAAACCTTGATAAGATGAGATGTTGATACATTATATTTCCTTGAGTGGCGACGCACTGACCAGTTTCTCTGGCTGAAAGCAGGGATGTTAGTGAGGCTCTGATCACTGGCAGGGTAATAGTGAGCGTAGGATGGGCGTGTGTACGGCACAGACGCCCTCTTCTCCTCTTCGTAGCCCTTTTTAGCGGCTTTCTTCTCAGTGCTGCTCAGCTTTAACTCTCTGCGATCTATTAGCAGGGACTCATGGGGGAAGGGTTGCTGAAAGGAGGAAGATGATAAGACTTCTACTCATAATCACCCATTTTACAGTTTTTTATAGACAATCCCTTACAAGGTGTTCAGCCCCTTAGCCCCTACTTATGTAACATTTCGTTACAGAAATAACCAGTCCATTGTAGCTCTCAGTGTTGTAGAAGTTGGTAAAGGAAGGGGAGTCTTCGCCCCAGTTTTTTACAGCTTAAGTTTCTTTTTTTTCAGTAGATTTCCACCGTAATTTGGATAAATCCATCTTCCCAGTATCTCTGAACAGCTAACTCATCCCTGCTATAAAAAGCAGCTTAATGATGCCACCATGTTTGGTCACAGGATGGTGTACAGTGTCAATGTTTTGCCACACAGAGGTTTTTCCATCTAGGCGAGACATCAGTTTCAGACTAATTTGAGCTTCCTGGTCGACTATTTCATAAAGTCAGATTTGAGGAAAGCACAACTGATAGTTATCACCTTGACAGATTCTCCCACCTGAGATGTGAAACTCTGAAGCTCCTCCAGAGTTAACTTATGCTACGTTCACACCTAAAGCAGCAGAGGCAGCAGGGTTACATGCAAAGTCAATGGTTGATGTGCATCAAGGCGCAGGAAAAGGTCCTGCAGCGTGTTTTGAGCAGCGTCAGCGTTTACAGCATCAAAAACGAAGCAGCACACACATTTTCGCTGCTCCTGCTGCTTTAGGTGTGAACGTAGCATAAAGACGACTACAATAACTGTAATTGGACAGCCATGTATTGGAGGGCTTTTAATTTTCTTTCCATCGATAAAAACAGGTTCATGGAGATGATTAAACCAGATCAACAATTCACAAAACAGGCTGAATCTGAAAAGTCAAAGGTGTGAATAAAAGAGAGAGTATGTATTTAAAACCTTGAGTAAAAATATTTCCAGTTCCGTTTTAAAAACAGGTCTTGTTGGGCTGAGATTATTTTCACTGATTAGTAAAACATTTACAAAACAAAACCTGCAGAGTATTGTATCCCATAACAAACTCCATCCCCGTTTGTTCTACTCTAATTTCCTTTTAAAGGTTGTCGAAGGACAAAGGTGTGTTATATCCAACTACCTTGGTGATGAGGTGAGAGTAACGGTGCAGCGCTCTCTGCAGGACACTTTCCCCGATATCTCCAGGGAGCAGCCTGATTTGGGACGGATCTGGTTCCTCCTCCACAAAATGGAGAAGAGATTCAACTTCCCTCCTGGTGAAATTCAGCACAGGGTTCAGGTCGTCCACAACGCGGTCTATCGGGAGAAGATGACGGGGCAAGATTGTGATTCATGTAATTTAAACTAGACTAGCTTAGAATGTGACAAAGAAGAAAACATTTTGACAAAGACAGGAATTCAATGATATTACATATTTTTATCTTTCAAAACTCAAAGAAATCTTTAATTTTAATCTCTGAAATATGGACAAATATTTGAGCTGGTTGAAAAAATTTATTTTGGAATGAAGGAAGTTGTGGATTCTTGCTTTCAACACATGTTGATGTAACCCTGGACATGACTCTTAACAGAGTTGTATCATTGTATGATGTGTTTAGGTATCTGAGTGGGGCTGGGGTGCGCTACAGTGTGAATTCAGTCAGTCCATTTATTTGCCGTTTTGCTTGTTTGAAATACTTTTGGTCATGGAGGGGAAACTGAATAGGAACCATTCATCCTTCTTATTCCAGTGAGTGAGTTTTAAAACTAGAAGCGGCAGGCTAGATACCCACACAGAGAGCCATAATAATGTATCATAATAACCTGACTCTATAAATGGCAGAGCATCAACGTTACACAAAATGCAAGTGAAGTTCTTCTTACCAAACTCAAATAAAAGAGTCAAGTTTAATACTTATTTTCTATAACCATAGAAATCTGATTTTTGTTTAACTCACCCGACATGCCCTGCTTGGAGATCTGGCGGTCATAAATCTTTTTCTCCAGAGTGAAGTCACACACCAGTCTGTAGATGTGACACGGTTTCCGTTGTCCGTAGCGATACACGCGGCACACAGCCTGGGCGTCATGGCAGGGGTTCCAGGAGGCATCAAACACCACCACACGGTTCGCCCCGATCAGGTTCACACCCAGACAACCAGCCCTGTGGTCCAGACAGTGACTTTACTGTATTTCTGACATTAGGCCATGTTATTGATAATATTATGGTATGTGTGTGTTACCTGGTTGAAAGAAGGAAAACCCAAGCAGAGGTATTGGTTGGGTCATTAAACTGGTTAATCAGTCGCTCTCTCTCTGAGGCCGTCGTGCTTCCATCCAGTCCTTAAAAATATCCCAAAGTTAAACATGGGCAAAATAACAAGCAAGAAATTCCCTAGTTTAAACTGACATAAAAACATCTTTTAATTTCTCTCTCTCAAACAAAGAACCCAAAATGTCTCCCGTTTGCTAATGGATGGACCTGTTTTTCTGGTTCAATTTGCATGTTTTAAAACAAAACTAGATTTTGGGCCACTATATATAAAGCTTCGAATTCAACGCTAATTCTGACATTTTGAATTGAAAAAGCTTCCTGGATCGGAAGCGAAACGTCTTTTGGAAACAAAGTCCAGTGGATTGTTTTTTTTGTTTTTGTTTTTTTTTTATACTTTTTTGGAATACTCTCTCTCAAAAGAAACAAAAAGAAATGCTTTCAGAATAATTCTGAAGTTTAATAAAACAAACAACCAGCAACAACTTCAGGAATTTCAATGCTGAGTAACCAGATGGAGAAGGTTGCATGTTACAAAAAATGCCTGCAGGTGGCAGCACTCATTTAGGGTTAATGAGAAGGGAAGCTCAACTGCTAAACTGAAGCCCTTAATTCAGATAGATGAACCCTTCTTCAAAAGATCAGACAGATTAATTAGTAAACGAGTTCAGGAGTTGTTTAGTATAAGATTGTTCTAACTGAGTACATTCTCTATAGAAAAATCAGAATAAACATTGAGTCATGACTGTGTTTGCACCAGATAAGTTATTCATATTTGAGCTTGAGAGCAATCTATTATGTAAGTGTAATCTGGATGATCAATATAAAATGTGCTGAAAGAGTCATGAGTGATAACTTACTGTAGTAGTTGAGGTTACGGACCCAGTTCTGGCTGGGTCTGTCTTTGCTGGTTGTATATGGTGAAGGAGGTACTGGTCTTTTGGCCAAGAATTCCTCAATCACCGTCAGTGTGGACAAACTCTGACTGCAAGAGGAGCAGGAGAAGGCATTATGAGATCAAAAAGAAAATCAAAGGCAAGATAAGATTGAAATCTCACCGCAGGAGTTTGTATTTTTCCAAATGAAACCTAGTATTACTTGATCTTTTACCTGAAAACCAGGATTTTGTCTCCCTTCTTGACACTTTCTTCAATGAGGTGGAACAAAAGCACCATCTTTGCTGAGTTTTCCAGGATTCCAGGCTTGTAGTCATACATGAGTTCTTTGGCCTGGCCATGTAAAAGAGACGCTGTTAGATCAGACGCTAGATGGAGGAAACCTAATGTTGGAAAACCTTGAACCGGTGCGTACCCATTCATACGTGATGACCTGATTGGCCTTCTCCTGCAGCTGGTTTAGACTCAATCCACCAATAGGATCTGGGTTGTCCAAACTCTTTGACTTTGGACCCGGTGCTGCGGTGGGACATCTGCCCTGTGAAGTGGACGTGATGTCATCGAGGTCCAAATCCTGCTCGCTTGCCATATTTTCTTTCTGCAAAGCCTCATACAGCACGTCTGGATGATTCCAGATCTAAAGAACAACAAAATGCATTTAGTCAAGAAAATATTCCTCTCTAAAAGATGCAGAGTGAAGATAATGAGCGGCATCCTCTTACCTTGCAGCAGACGCAAAAAGCTTTCAGGGGGTTCAGGCTGAGCCAGCCAGTGTTCCCCGCTTCTCTGAAGCGGTTCATAAACTCAGTATAGAGCGCCCTCTGCAGGGGAGACAGACGCACCAGGATCACATGCTCGTCCTTGGAGGGTAGCTGGTCCCTCAGGACATCGTGGCCTCGCCTGGATTACAGATAAATGAGTCAGCAAAGTGTTGTAAAGAGAGATTGAGTTTCATCTCCTGAGCAGCGGCGATCTTACCTCTGCACAAAGCCCTCCAGCAGGCTGTGGAGGACGTGGCTCCTGTACCTCATCAGCTGGATGTCCTGAGGTGTGCTGTCCACACACTGTCCGTTTAGGATGGGTCGTTCAAACATGTTGCTGAACTCCTGTCTTGTACCTAAAAAGGAAACATCAAAAAAGGGATTATATGAGGAGCATTCAGAGAGAAATAGGAAACGGAGAATCTAAACACATCTCATCACCTACCTAGAAAGTCTGGACGCACAAAGTCGACCATGCACCAGTACTCGATGAGATTGTTCTGAAGAGGATAGCCAGTCAAAACTACTCGCCGCCGCGTTTGTATGTTCTTTAGGGCCTGAGATGTGCTGGCGTGGCAGTTCTTAATACGATGGCCTTCATCACAGATCACAACATCGGGACCAGGTTGGGAGAGGGCTTTTTCCACGGCTGAACCAAAGAACATTTTTTTTATTTTAATTTTCTCCATCATCATCTTTATATCTGTTTTCTTCTACTGTGTGTCATCCCCAACCTTTCAGGAGTTCTTGCTGTCTGTCATCTTCATCCAGGTTTATGATATCAGATCCTGTAGTTTTTTTGCTCCTCTTCTTTCGCCCAGCCACAAAGCTCTTCTTCAAAGACAGAAGACGGTACATCTCATACCCCATCAGCAGGACACCGCCGTCCCGAGACCACTCCTCCACCACCTTGGCCCTAGATGCTGTGTTTCTATGCATTGGGTCAAAATGAAAGGTTGGTCTTACAAACTATCCATTATAGGTTAAAAGTGACAGATCTTCATCTCCCCATTCCACCTTAACTAAACGATTAAATGATAGCATGTACTGCAGGTTTTACAGTCTGTCATACAAATAACAGGATTCTTTTGTCCACCTACTTGTGTTCGTCGTTCAGGATGTGAACCTTAAATGCGCGCGGTGTGACCAGCGCAGGATCGGTGTCTGGAGGTAATGCTTCAGGAGGAGGGACCCATGTGTTGAACTCTGAGAGCCAGTTCTGCAGAGTATTCACCTGTAAGGAAAGAAGGATGTTTATCCAACTTTTCTGGGAAAGCTTTGTCGTTCATAGTTATTATTTGAGTCCTAGACATAAAGAAAGATCTTTACATTTACACATAACATTTTATTTTCCAAAATACACCCCTTATATTTAGTAAAATACCAAAATAAAAATGGATTAGTGTTAGTAAGTAAGTCATTTTTTGGGAGGATTTTCTCCTTTTTTAAAATTCAGATTTAAATTTAAATGATTAGAGAAAGCCCAACTAATAATGAGATGGATTTGTCACATACATACAAATGTTACTGATAATAAAGCAGTAAGTGGGTGTTAATAACTGATACTAGTGACCATCTACTAGCCTTTTCTAATGTTTAACATTAATAACTATAATAAGGTGAACCACCGCCAGAGCAAGATATAATACTTTAACAGCTAATATATAGGAAATGTTTCAAGATAGAGGGAGAGGTTATAATTTAAGGGGTATTTTGAATCTAAAAACGTTAAAGAGAACGTTCTGTGTCTTCATATGTGGTGTACGGCTGTGGAATAACGTAAGGAAAGAACTGAAACAAAGTAGATGCATGACCCAGTTTAAAACCATCCAGATAATGACTACTGTCTGGATATGTTGGATTATTGTTTCTTCTTTACTATCATTTATTAAATTCTTCTGATATTAGGTTCAACTTATTGGTTATAGATGGCAGTTTGTCAAATGTGTCCATGGTTAAGTGAGTTTGACTGATCAACAGTAGTGAAAAATGTGTGGGATTTTATAAGAGTTCACTTCTACCCACTTTTTTTTTTGGACTCCTTTAATTGGATTGTTTTGTTTTGTTGTATTTGTTTACTGACTCCTGTTTGACAGGGTATATCTTAAAGAGTGTTTTGATGAAATGTCCAAAAAATGTATTTCACTCATTCAGGTGGGAACCACATAGGAATGTGAATCCATCATAATGTTCAGTATTCAGTAGGAGGAAGAGTTCTTTTTCCCAAAGATGGACCTTTCAATGAGTAACATAAATACGCATCTGCTCAGCTCAACTGTAAATGACTTAATGTTCGGGTTGATCTATTCTGTATCGATTTAAAATAGCTTAAAAACAACAGGTCATGAATTTGATCTCTTTGTGTCAAGATAGCATCAAAAGCTGAGGTCTTGATATAATCTACGGATGCTTACCGGTACGATGGCAAGCACAGTGTGAGCTTCGGTGTGCCTGAACAAGACGTCGATGAAGGAGATGACCTGAAGGGTTTTGCCTAGACCCATGCTGTGGGCGAGGATACAGCCGAACCCGCTGCTGTTCCTGAAGAGCTCCAGGGACTCCACCAAGTTGTCGTACAGAAAACGGATCCCACCAATCTGAGGACAGAATGACACAAAGGATGAAATGACAGAGCCAAGAATCTGAAGGAAATCTGCAGCTAAAAGCACAAATATACAGATTCTCTTTGAAGGTTTAAGGGAAGCAGCGATCTTTTAGCCCGATCGTCTGGACGGAGAAAAGTTTCCTGTTTTTAACGTGTCCTGATACCTGGTGAGGTTTAACGGCCCGAGCCAGCTGTGGAGACAGGAAGATGTCCTCCTCTGTAGCTGGATGGTTGAGGTTGATGAGGACTCTGCCCTGGGAATCGGGTTGGTTCTGGGCATCGTTGGCATGGGCGCCGCTGGGCTCACTCTCCTCCTCGTCTTTGGAGACTTGAGCAACAGTATCACCCTCATCTGTCCCCAAATCTAATAATTCTTAATACAAAAAAGGAAAAAAAAAATCATATTAACATTTTAAGTAATTCTTCTTCACTTTAGAACTTCTTAAAGCAGGTTTTAACCAGGTCTATGAGCCGTTCGTAAAAAGATTTCAGGGCTCAATTTTGAAAAACAAAGTATTGTCATAAAAACAATCAAAAATAACCATTTATTAATTGATTTCAATACAATCAATTTCACAGGATGGATCTGATGTTTTCTGCTGAGGTGTAACAAGTATTTTCCTTCTTTCCATATCAAAAGAAACATACAACCATCTGAAAAAACTATGTTTCAAGTGGTCAGATGACTGTTAGCCAAAGCAAATATTTTATTTATGTTCGAAGATGCAGGATCTTCAACTGAGAGAACTGTCTGCATGGAGTGATGTGGTGATTATTGCCCAGTGACCATTTTAAAGGATTATTTCATGATAATATTGTGTGTTGAATGCTGAGAAATGCAATGGGAGCATTATTTCCTTATGGCTTCAAGCCTTCTAATACTTCTAAGAAACGGACCGTGTGGTAGCTTTACGAGGGTGTGAAAAATTAAGATTTGCAACGATACAAATATCTATTGTGAATTTTACTACCCTAGTCTCAGTTTTGTAACCAGAAGTTACTTTGTGGTATGTAAAGCTGGTCAAACGCATGTCATTCTGGCAGTTTCTATGGCATCCGATAAATAGCGCATTTTAGTGGTTTAAAACTTACAGCTTTTTAAAATCTTGATAAAGATAAGAGCATCACGTCAAGGTCCACATTAATATTCATTATTAGACATTACAATAATCATTAAGGTTAGATAGACCCTGCAAACAAAGTAATGCTTCAAAGTAGGGCTGCAACGAACGGTTATTTTGTAAATCGATAAATCTGTCGATTTTTTTTAGATTAATAATCGAATAGCCAAAGGTTCCTTAACGACGCCTTTTACGAAATTAAACCACGTAAAACTAAAACTTTTCCACTTGAGGAGTTCTGGATAGAGCATACTGACAGACAAAAACTTTTTTCTATCTTAGATGCAAAATGTTTATATATTTATTTTTACAAATGTGATATAATTACTGCTCTAAGTGGGTCGCTCTGTCAGCTAATGGCATGTTTTACAGTCTATACTCCATTTAAAGCTTAATAGATTACTAAATTAGTTGACGATAGTTTCAATAATTGATTAGTCATGATTAATCCAATTGTTTCAGCCTTACTTCCAAGTATTAAATTTAACGCTGGCGTCAACATGGGTGAAATGAGAGGACAATAAATATTAGGTGTTTTACATGTAAAACAGAGGAACAAGTATCAAGGTGTTTCCTTCTCATTATCATTAGCTTTGAGACACTCATTTGTAGTTACTGGTTTTTTAAAAAAAATTCCCCCCCACTCCGACAAACACTGAGAGACTCAGTGTGTCAGAGTTTGTCGGGGAAAAAATCTGTCAGATAAAGAAGAACGGAAAAGGGTATCAAAGTTATACAAGCTGGCTGTCTGAGAGAGTCTGAGGAGAGTGTGTTGAAAAAAATGGAGAGTGAGCTTATATAACTGCAGTGAATGGCTGGTTATACAAGTAGGATTAGTGGAGGGGGCGACTGGTTATGCAACCCCAACTGGAAATGTCACTGTGCCACTGTGGTGTGGGTGTGTGTTCTTTATGAGTGTGTGTTTGGCTTCATCCCCAGTATCAGGCGGGTTTATTACCCCTCTCATTTCATCCCTCTTCCCTCCATTCCTCTGTTTTCTTTGTCTTTCCTTCCTCTGCTTCTTGAATATGTGTCTGTGTTTACCGGTTCATCCGTCTCCAGTACACTCCTATTTGCACTGTAGGTGTGTGTCTGCAGTTTGCCTTGATCTTGACGCTAAAAAATGTGTTTATCCCAGCGTGTGTGTGTGTGTGTATTTTTATCCTAGAGTGTTTGATGGGCTTTCTTGAGGTGTGTGTTTGAGCACAGGGACAGAAAAGGAGCACGCGCTGTACCTTAGTCATATAAAACATCTCCCTAAATTAAAACACACAGTGACACTGAACAGGAAGGCTGGATAATTATGACTGCAAATGAAATGGTTACAAATAAGTTGTACAGTCATTTAACTATAGAAGGTATTTTGAAAAAATAAATTAAAGTTAGTATAATTTGTCTTTTAAAATGGTTTCCTTTATATAATATGGACAATAAAATTGAGAGGGAAACTAAATAAAAAAGAAGAAAATATATATAATGCAGAAAAATCCTTTAGGGTGTCTTTCAAGTAAATACACAATTTATCCTTCCAGGAAATTTCCAGCAATAAAAGTCCTTTTATGTGGTCTGTGTCCCAAGCCAATGCCAAACAGGCTGTGTAATTTCATAAATAAATGTCAAATGGCTATTAGTGATGCTTTTCTTGAGCTTTATGGAACAAATACTTGGAAGATATCAGACTTTATGTGATAGGGAACATCTTTGGTGTCTTTACTCAGATGAGTTACTGTAAATGGCCCCTTTTTCATTCCATGAGCTGCAGATTTATCGTGAGGCTAAAAGTATGCAGGTAGTTTAAACATATTAAAAGGAGGAGAAAAACTAACAAAAGCCTAAAAGCTCAAGGCTACAAAGATTTGGGTAAAACCTGAGTATTAAATTGCGATTAAAACAATAAATACATTATTTTTCATACAGGCTAGGCAAATTCAGCTGAATCAGAGGCTCTGTTAGACCACTTAATTAACTTAAATTAAGCTTAATGGTTTTAAATTAGGAGAATTTAATATAGTTACAACACCCAGCTTATTAGTGTCACTGTGATGCTTGTTAAAACACCAGAACCGCCTAAAACCATGCGTCTGTTAGGAACCTGTAGTCACAATACTGAAATATCCATTTCAATACTGATGTCTAGAAAAAAAAAACGTGATACCTGGCATTTTTAAAATCTTAACACTGACTTCCTTTTAGTTCAGAACCCAAGCCGAGGGCAAAAAACATTGAGTATGGATGAATCTTTTCTGCAGCTGTTGTTTGTGAAGCCATCATTTAAACTTAGGGCGCTTGCTTGTGTCATCATCCTGTATCTGTATAAGAGCTTTTTTTGGACGTTTTTCTTTTGCACTCAAACTCTACAGTAGTAGCCTTAGCTAGAAGGATCACTTTGTTCTGCATTCACTTATTTTCCCTTTCTGCCTGCTTCACAGAGACAGCACCTCCAAACAACACTTTAGTTTGCACAGTTGCATTACGAAGGTAAAAATTATTTTCCTGGCTGGCCTTGCCACATGTTATCCAAGTTAAAATCTCCCAGCTGCATTGGGAGGGCCTGAATGCATGTTATTGCTGCTTTACCACCATAAGAAAAGAGCTACAATTTAGACAAAATGGAGAACTGGGCCTGTATCACTAAGTAATTAATTTCTCAAGTATCTTTTATAAGGAAATATGTATTATTTTGACAGCTTCACTAGACGATGGTCTGAAACCTTTTGCTGCATATTCTCATCTCATGGATGACGCATGGAAGGCACAAATTAAAAAGCTGAATATATCATCAGTGGCGTGATGAAGAACAACTTTGTGTGCATCTTAGTAAGCAGTTGAAGTTTCAAATGTTTTTTTTTTTTGTTTTTTTTTTTGCATCTCTTAAGCCTACGCCAACACACAGGTTATATGATATGATTTTGGGTATGAGGGTTTGTTGAGTATTAATAACAGATATGAACAATATTAATATTATTCAGTCTGCTGGTAAATATCAATATATATAAATATTAACTCAAACCAATAAGAGATAAAATTAGAATTTAAATTTGTTTTCAGATTTTTGTCATTTTTATTTTTTATAATAAGATTTTAATATCAAACATATTTAAATGGGGCTGGGCGGGGGGCATCATTGAAATGTTCCTCTAAATCCAGAGAAACAAATCACTTTAAAATTAACTATTTATGTATCCATTTAAAAATGAAAGTAGATCTTGTTTAATTTCTGGCATTTATTAAGTGCACCTAATCTTCCAGTTAACGTCTCCATTATGGTTTCTAAATCTGTGGTGTTTGGCTCTGTTCACTTCAGGTTAGATCTACAACCTGATCAAGAACAGATTGTTCATAAACAGCAACCTTTAAAAGTGGTTTAGTTTATCTAACTGAAACAAGTTTTACCATCAAAAACTTCATTTTGAAGCTGTTTTCAACTGTTTCAAGTAAATCTTTCATTTTAACTTTGGATGTTTTACCTGTTTTTTGTGTTTTTGCTGTAACTGCAGAGGTGGTTACATCAGTTTTGCAGGTATCTTCGCTGATGGCAGTGCTGCTGGACCCCAAACAGATGGCATCCTGTCTGATGGACTTTGCATCTCGCTGGAATGACACTGATGCTGACAGTGAGGGCACATCGCCTGAGGAGACAGACAAAAATCATGCAACATGTAAGACTGTAATTAATTACAATAATAAAAGAGCAAAGTTTAAAGTGGCGATGTTGTCTGAGGAGTTTTGTACCAGTTGTATATTCAGGCAGCAGAGGTAGAGGAAAATCCTGATTTCGATGCTCTCCCAGGCGTTGCCTTCTTTCAAGCTCCTCCTGCTGGGCGGCTTTGGTCACTGCATCTAACTGATGTTCCCTCAACAATTTCCTGTAAAATAGCCAAAGAAACATGACTTAGGTGAAATGATACTTATTATAACACAATCAGCGAGGTGATATCGTCTTTTTGACATTTTGCTCTTGGACAGATGAATCTTGTAATTTCAGGAATGCTCTTGCAACACTGGTAAACGCTGATGTAACATATCCACTGTTATGGATGCTTTCATTTATAAATGCTAGACTTTAAAGTGAACAAAAGGCAGCTGTATGCTGTGAATTATAAGAGTTCTGCAATGGACTTACAAATGCATGATCTCAAAAAAGGTTTTGCTAAAAGGAAAGTGATTCATATTTTTAGACAAGAGGTATGACCTCAAAAAAAACGTTAGCAAATAGTTTAGTTAAAATAAAACAATAATATACTAAGCTGACATGTTCATTTCTGTCCAATAAATGTTTTAAAGCTTTGCTACAGTTTTTTTTCTTCCCAAGAGGAGAAAAAAAATAAGAAAGCACAGGGAAATCTGTTGATTTGTGACAAGAATTTTATGATTTTCTGTGCATGGGAAAAAAAAAAAAAAAAGAATGAAAGCAAACTAAATTCAGGTGTTTAAAAATTCAGAGCAAGAATAAAAAGTGCCAGAAGCTTTTTAAAGGGAAATTATTTCAGACAGAGGCATGTTAGCTCTTTATTTAGGATCTAGGCTTCTGGGAATGCAAGCTATTCCTACTTGTGCTGTTTTTTAAACTATTTTTCACAAATAATGCCTTCATCTTATTTTTTGTTTTAGTTTTTTTATTTTAATCATTGCATCAAAATTAATGCAAAAGGCTTTTTAATAACAGAGCAAAATCAAAGCTTTAAAACAAAAAGAATGAATATGCCAGCAGGACGCAGTAAACTTTCAGGAAAAACTTGTATGAAATTGGACTAAGCTAATGGCGCATACATTTTAAAAAATGTTACACCTGATTATCCGCCTTTAAAATGTCATTTTTCCTTTTTTATACATACCCTCACAATCACCTTACATGTAAAATGAGTGTTCCTATATTTACTACAGTCGCCTCTTTAAGCGCGACCACAGTTTCTTTTGAAAGCGAGTGGATGTGACTCGCCGCATACTTCAGCTGACCTGGTTACTATGTCGAGTCCCTGCTATAGAGAGAAATTAACTGGGCGACTGTTGATGAGGATGGATATAAAAGACCATCCACAAGTGTTCTTTAACCCTCATTAATCCCACACAAGAGAACAGATAAATGTTAGTGTTATGAAAGAGGGAATCTGGTTGGTGGTTGAATAAGAATAAATATTAAAGGTATAGTGGAGGAAGTTTACGAATTTTTGAAAAGACCCGCCCTCTACACCTTTAAAAGAATGCACATGCACAACCCTGTTCTCGCTCCGGAGACAGTACAGGGTTGTGCATGTGCATTTTTTTAAAGGTGTAGAGGGCGGGTCTTTTCAAAAATTCGTAAACTTCCTCCACTATACCTTTAATATTTATTCTTATGAAAGAGGGAATCTGGTTGGTGGTTGAATAACAGGGCGGGTTCTCCGGAGAGAGAATGTCTATGAAACGCGTGCGAGAGCGTGCACAAGCCCATTTCTCCTTGTCCACAAGTTGCTGTTTGCATCGTTCATACAAGCTTACTTTCAGACTCACCAACAGTAAGTAAACATGGGGATGAGTATGTAGAACGGCATTACGTAAACATATCGCCAGAATGATTGACAATTAGGAGGACGAATTATGATTATTAATTTGATGCATTTAAGGCAGCTTGTTGAATGAAAACAAAAAGGGACCAGCAATCTGCCCTGTTTTTACTAAAAAGGTGAGCTCTGTTCAAAATAACCTAAATATAGGTTATACTAAAGACCTGTGCCTCGTGCACAGCACTGGTGTCACTTCAACTGAGCGCCAGAGGGGGCAAACATCTTTAAAATCTCTGGAACTTGTGCTATGCTCCTTTGAAGTTAATAATGCTAATAAAGCTAAAATTTTATGATAGAATTGTTGTTAATCATAGTTTTAAAAGATATATTGAAAAAAAAACACAGAAAGATCGAAGATTAACAAAAAGCTGGGATCTGAAATATGCCACATCTCTGATTATCATATTTAGAACAAACTAGATCATAAAAATCCACTGATCAAGACAGTAATCAGAAGTCTTATGTGACAGTATTATTGTTGATTGTTGTTTTATCCTTTGGTTAAATCCTTTTTACCTTAATAAATCAAAATAGGCTTTAGCTACCTCCATATCCCAAATACATGTGTGATGAATTCTTTTAAAATATCTTTAAAACAGAGTCTAAGCCTTTCAAATAGAGATATTCCATAAAGGAGACAGAAACTTTAAATGAAAGCCAGATCACAAACAGATGTTTGTAATTCATCCTAATGCTGTGTTTCAATCTTTTCTTGCAGTTCAGCTTTATGATGGTTGCAGGCATTAAGGAGGAATCAAGCTGCCAACTCAGCAGATCTGTAATCAGTTACAGATTTTATGGGTAACTGCTGCATTTGCTTTTCTAATAGAAAAAAAATGCAAAGTGTATTAGTGGTAGGATGTAGCTTTTTAAAGCATCTAAAATCCAAAATCACATTTTATTATAATGCAGCAAAAAAAATTTAGGCATATATTGGTCGTGCCAAAGGCTTTAATAATGTCCATTACTAATAGGCTACAGTTCTTTCATGTCATTTTCACTCCTTTTAATATGTGGGTTAATTGTTGCCTTTTCTGCTGTTTCTTCGGTATCCCTACAGAATAAACAGGGGGGCGTTGTTCTAAGCTCTCTGACTCAGATCTGTGTTTGAATCTAAGCTCATGGTTTGAACTTCAGTACCTGATGTTGCGTCTCATGTGAGCCGGCTTGGAGCTTCTCTTCTTGGTTCCTGCCATGGCAGAGGGAGGGGCGGGGCTTTGGCTTGCAGGCCTTGAGTGGGGTCTGGACATTGGCTGTGAGGTGGGCGGGTGGGCAGGCGTTTCCACTGAAGGTGAGGTAGATGGGGGAGGGGTACACTGCCATACAGCAGGGTCGCCACCCTGAGCCTCATTCTCCGAGCTGAAGGGGGCGCTGTGGGACTGGTCTGTGTAAGGAAAACAGAAACACAGATAATGATCAATAACAATAATAGTCTATCAGTTTCAGTTGTTATCAACCATCATAATAATTACCATTAACACACTTAAAAAAAGGATACAAACACAGCTGAAGCACAGAATAAATCAATTATAGGTTCAACATTTGCATTTAAAGAAGGTTTCTTTACTGTTACGAATAAAATTGCTCAGGTTTTAAACAGAAGCTTTTCTATCCATGCTGTATGTAGCCCGGTGTTTAAGCTATTAATGGAAAAGTTCCTCTAGAACATTAGCTATAGCTGTAGCTTTATTAAAAAAGAAAATAAAAGTTGGAGGTATTTTGGATCTATACAAGAAATACAAAGGCTATTGTTTAATATAATGATGACATTTATGTACAATATCAATCAAACTTTACACCCTCAACCACATGTGCAGTAATATGTATAACATTTTTTTATGTTTCATTAAAAAAAGCAGAAAGTTCTTTTTTAAAGAAAATAGAGGGATCAGGAGTTATTTGGAACAAAAAATATGGTGTCTGCCAAGTCACAACAGCAGCAGCAGAGAGGCTTGCATAACAATGTTTTATAACACTTGATGACTCAGGGAAAATTGCATGAACTGCTGTTTCACTGTTACAGATTAACAGCTCTAAATAACCAGGAAACGCTCTTAAATTAGGTAAAACGTGGTCACACCGTCTATAATTATTACCAGTTCCCTTTTGTTTCATATCTTAAGGATCACCATGAATGTTAGTATGAATCTGAATGGTAAGGAGACGCCAGACATTTCTATATGACGAGGCGTGACACAGCAGTGTGTCCTGGACTAACACTAGTTGTGTAAAACTAGATGCTTCAGGAGCTTTTTCAGAAACCACTGTAGAGTGGCTTTATGAAGTTTGTCTGCTTTCATGACTGAAAATAGAATATTTCAAGTATTTAGCTGGAGCCGGCTGGTAAACAGCATTTATGGATCCATCCATCCATTTTTTGACACGCTTTATCCCAAGTGGGGTTATGAGGGGTGCTGGTATCTATCTCCAGTTTTCTATGGGCGAGAGGCAAGGTACACCCTGGACAGGTCGCCAGTCCATCGCAGGGCAACACAGAGACAAACAGGACAAACAACCATTCACGCACACACTCACGCCTAAGGAGTGTGTCTAACAGTAATTTTTTTGGACTGTTTTGTGAGCATGCTCAGGTGCTCAACATGCAAACTCCATGCATAAAGACCCTGGGCCGTGAATAATTCCCTTAAACACACATTAGGCTGGTTTGAACCAAACAGATCTGATCTTCTTCGAATCAGTGAATGCACCTTTCATTAGTGCAATCAAGACACACTGGAGATATTTATTTTATATTGTGAAAATCAAGTAAAGAAGACTCAAAAATAACTGATCCCTGATCAGGGGTAAGCCTGAAATAAAGACAGAAAGAGTGAAAAAGTAATCTGTAACTAAGGATGAGAGAGAGTAACATTTTAAGCACATAACAGAAAGGTTGGATGGAGTACAATCAACGTGCAACCATTGACTCCTTATAGCAGCAGGGTTAGAAATGGAAAAAAAAAAAAAAAAAACATGCTCTTATATCTTTTATTTACCTATTAAAAAGAAATCTGAAATAAGGAGGCAAAAAAAAAAACACTTGTGTTTGAAAATCCACCACATGGATGCATTTCTAAGAAACAGTTATTGAAAAAAAAAAGAAAATTGGAAATATTTTACACCCAAATCTTAATTGAGCCTCATGGTGTTCTATTATTTTTAATGTCTGTCTTCTCCATCTGCATGTGAACCTGTTGGTCTTAATCATCACAAACCTAAATTAAACTTTTTCTAAATCAGCATGGGGAAAATTCTTTTCCGAACCCAAACATCAATCAAAAATAACAGTTTAACCTTGTTCTGCAGCTCATTCTGATCTTTGATCCGTTTCCCTAAATCCGCTCATACTTAAATCTAACCTTTTCCCTTCCTGCCCTCCTGCTCCTCTTTCTCTCAGTCGTTTTATTGGAAGCAAACTGAACCAGATCTCTAGCTTATGTAAGAACTGCATCATAAAAATGGACGGCTTATGAAACACAAGACAAGGCACAAACACTGACGCACAGACAGACATATTTCAAAGGACAAGCGCTCATAAAAGAACATTAATCAATACATAAATATCTAACACACATGTAAACCAGCTCATGTTCGTATATCTGTGGGGAACATACTAGAAATGGAACAGATTTCCTCCATTAAGCCCCATCTAAAATAAATCAACTAACCATAAAAGCTTAAATTGCCCTCTTTAAAGTCTCTTATACATCTGACAGCAGTTTTGTTCCCATATTTTTAGAGAAACTCTTCATAACTTTATGTGCTGACAGGTTTTGTACCCCTCCCAGGGTATAAAAAAAACACACATGTCAAGGTTATAGTTCAGTCCAGCGATTCTGCTGGGAAGATTGGACACAGTGGGATGCTACCCGGACACACATTAGCCATTATACTGCAGACGCACACAAGCCTCCCCCCGCAACACAGGCAGAAGACGTGCTCACAGCGTGATACCTGGCATGAGAGCGTACATATGGTTGGTGGCACTCACTAAAAAAGAAAATTCTTGGGGCACGGAGCCTGTTGATGATGATGATCTCAGTATGAAGTGGAAAACAACTTACATAAAACGCCCCGACAGCCTGTCTACATGGCGACAAACTTCTTAATCAGGCTGCTAATGACACCAGCTCTACCACGTATCTGTGTGATTGACAAGTTGACATTTTATGTTTCAGAAAGAAAACCTTCTTCTCTTTTGGCTTAAGAAGAAATCAAGATATAGGAAAGCTTGTGGTTATAAAAGCACACATATTTAGACTCTAATCAGCTCTGGTATCTCATTCAGACTCTTTGGTCTTTAGCTGAAATGTCTGAGCAAATGCAATGGCTGTTTGTCTTTTGTTTTGTGACCCCCGTCAGCTCTCTCCTAATGCTTTAACAAGGCTGACATTTCCACATAATTACAGTATATTCACATGCTTTCAAAAGATAGTAGCATTTGAGATCCGGAACAAATTAAATTACGTTTTCTACTATAAAACAATCAAGGAGTCAGGATCTAAAGATATAAATACACCTCGATGGGCTGGATAGGGTCTAAGGCAGGGATCATCAGCCTTACAGCAAACGTACAGTTAACTAAGCCTTAATATATCATATACATACTTCCACAATTTCTTTTGAATTTGTTCTAATTTTAAATGTATATAAATGCAAATGTGATACAAAAGAAGAGAGTATGAGTTCCTATCAGAAATGAATCACTGCTTTCCCTTGTTTCAGCTGCCAGCAACATTAGTGCATCAGATGGTTTAGATTTTCCAGAGAAGAACGAATGGGGATTGTGGTTCTTCTCATTAAAATGGAGTGGGTTTAATAAAACAGTTTAATTAACCTTATCCTCTGATCCCACGAGGGACAGAAAGAAAGAAAGAAAACAATCTTTTTATTCATGTTATTAGCTACATTTCCTGGAAACCATCATAAACCCCATTTTCCATTTGTCCAGCACAACCTTACACAACGGTTATATAACAGTTCCTGAAAAGCACAGAGCCCCAACATCAGCGCAGACTCACACACAAACAGGCCGACGACAATGCGGAGGCAGGACAAGCAAAGGAAAAAGGAAAGGAGAGAGAGATCAAAGCGAGGTCAGTGTTCGAAGCAGGAGAGAAAATGTGGAAAACAAATAAAAACCCATTAAAAATACTGCAGCTGCACACATAGGCAAACCAAGCAGACGCAAATTCTGGGAATCAGGACCGCTTCCTGCTCTTGGGTCAAAAGGCCGACAAGTTAAAGATTCATTCACTAAGAGAAAGAGAGCATTTTATTCACATCTGTTACGAAATGTGCTTCTGGAAGCTCTTAGATGCACCTTTTGCTTTCAGGCCTGATCCCCTTACAGGCCCGCTTCAGCTGAGACTGAGTCCAGTTTTAGTTTAACACGATTCAAATCTCGTTTGCAGCAATAATTTTGCATTTTCATTTAAAAGGTTTAAACCAGCAAATGACAACCCTTTACAGTGAACCAAAGAAAACTTAAATAAAAGAGATAAAAGTCAGTAAGTGCAGCAGAGCCTTGTTTGCTCTCCAGATTCCTGTTTGAAGTTACCAATAATAGGAGAGTGGGATGCTCTTATTCAGGCAATTAACAGGTTGGAAGCAGCTGCAGGCAGACTGTGAACGTTTTATGACTGAAACAAGGGCTTTATCTCAGCTTAAACATTCACATTTATGCGGTAAAATAATTGGAGTGCTTTTTTAAAGCTTAGGTCTACGTTTAAAAACAAAGTTTTTAACATTATGAAAAGCTAAATTATTATAAACCTGAAGAAATTCACAGTAAAACAGCTTATCAAGCTCTATACATTATTCTGAGGCAGCGTACATTTATATGCTGTCTCTATATGTGTTTATGGGGCTGAAATCTTTGATTCATTAAAAACAGCAGAACAAATGGCAAAGACTGAAAGAAAAAACATTACAGGTATTTTTCAGAGGAATATTAGCCCCTCATGACCTAAAAGGTTGCACAACCCACCCACTGAAATGCACTAAATAACTTGTATAAATAAAAGGTTAATCTATGCTCCTCTTACTGAGATCCAAAGAAACTGCAAATCCCAAAATCTCAACACCTTACAGGAATGGCAGTGATCCATTAAACTCCCCATTTAGACAAATGTAAATGATTATAATAAGGTAGAGACTCATTATATTAAAGTCAGCTTATCATGTCCTAACCTTCAGTTAATCGGCTCCTTCTGCCAACAGCTTCTTTCTTCTGCAACCATCTGTTTTAGCAGCTGTTTTAAAGACGCAAATTGTCAGAAATTCATAAGATGCAGAATATGGTTATAAACAGAGACGATATGGGGTTCTGAGTTTTATTATATATGATCAACTCTGTACCAAAAACTTTTATGTGATTTAATT